TCTTATATGCATGTTACTACTAGCATTTTCGTGTTAGAACGACCAGAAAATATAATTGCGTCAAAAATAATTATAATTTTAGTTGGGTTGAACATTTTTTTCTCAGCACACGAGTTGGTGTACAGTCGTGGACAAATAGGTAATCTTTTTTATGAGTTTAGGAACGTATATGTCTTTGTCCAATGGGAGATTCTATTTTTCATTGGGAGAATTCTCCCATTGGGCAGGACGGATACGTTTTTAAACCCATAAAAAAAGTCAGATAACCAATCTGTCCGCGACTGTACAATCAATATCCTTTTCGAGCAATGAGATCTGTCGCCACTCGTTCGTGATTACACGAGGTCGGTTGATGAAGCTCTCTTCCCTCCTTCTTTTTCTCACATACACACACGGTAAATTTCTAAAATTAAAATATTTCCCAACTTTTAAATTACTACCGCGGCGGGATTAAATATCTCAGATATATATGACATTCACGGCTCGGTGAAAAAGTAAAAGAAGAAAAAAAAACACCGTTTTATACGCATACATTGAGAGTGAATGTTCTCGTCAACGAGCCGGAAAAAAAGCTACGACGTAGGCAGAAACGCGACGGAGGTGAACCGCGGCGCGGCGAATTTTTGTTTCGCGACCGGAGAAAAACATTTGCCGGCGTAAAACTCTTGACGGCCGGCAGTCACCCTCTCGTGGTTTCGGCTTGTCCGCGAATGACAAAAACCGCCGTGCACGCGCGGAGCGCAACGTTATTGTTGAGGGATGCTGGCGTTACCTTCGAACGAAGCGGGCGACTCTTGGCGTGTTAAAGGCGCAAGAATGAAATAAGAACAAATGGGGCGAGGAAAGAGAGGGAGGGGGATGGACCATTTCGGTGTGAATGTGTGTATACCGATGCTGACTGTGACGGCAAGCAGAGCCGGCGAGGAGGAAGGCAGACGAAAAGATGGACGGGGAACGCGCTCGAAAACAAAAGGGCCTGGCGGCTTCCTGTTTCGCACTTTCTGTGCGTTACTTCGCGCCATTCGCCGAGAGTGTGAATGCCGGTACTTTGGTAAATGCTCCTCGTCGGTTCACACGAGACGTGGTTACAGGGAGGACTCACGGGGAAAGAATGCGACCGCCTCGCACATGCGGGTGTATACACTTGCTCGAAGTAGAACGTCGCGGTTTTCGACCACTGCGAGACTTATGCCAGACAGTTTGAGTCGCGATTTTCATTCTTCCCGTATTTTGCGCGCGAAACCGTGGTCGTCCAATTTTCTCGCTCTCTCTCTCTTTCTTTCTCTCTCGTTACGTTGAGACACAGTGATCTTCGCGTGAGCAAATTATAGGGCGAGAGAGAGACACGCGCGGCGTGTCTGTATGGAATAAAACGAAGGGTCTCCCGTGCTGGATTCTCGGCGAGATTGGATTCTCTCGGCCACGAGAGAGTTAATTGCATAGCGCGCGTCCGCACGAGGTCCCCGATCGCGCGACTTGCGTTGTTTTCTAATTCGGATTTATGAGCGCGCTGTCGAAAGTCGAGCGACGAAGTGCAGCCTTCCCGCGCTTCCGGCGGGACGGATAATTGTTTTCCGCGCCGTTGTACCGACGGTGCATACGTCTGTGACGGAGAGGGGCGCACGAGCATCGTCGCGGAAAAAGCGGCCAGACGCCGCCGTCGTCGAGGGCGAGGATGAGACGCGGGCGAAGTTCGCCGGCGGTGATGTGCACGCAGACACGCGTTACCCGAAAGAAAGGGCGTTGTCGGGGGCGTCTGGCTGGGCGTCTGGTCCCATTGTCCATGCACGCGGATGGGTTGGCTCTTTACTGAAATGCAAGCCTGAGTTTTTTTTCCGAGGGGTGGAAGCGGAACGAGCGGAGCGTGCGGAACGCGGAGAGCGCGAGGACGGAGACGAGTCGCCTAGGGGTGACTCGGCCGAGACGCGACCCCCGACGCGACTCTTCGTCGCGCAGACGGCAGACTGAAGGGTGCGCAGGTATTTCCCGGTCCCCGATAGACCACGGGCGAACGTATCGCTCCACGGGCGTGTATCGCACAGTAATTTCTACTTTCGATTATCGCACGCATTGCGGCGTTTTAACGTTATTCGAGACGGACGGGACGAGGGCGCGTCGTTCTTTCATTTCGTCGTCGCCGCGAAAACACGATGGGAATTTCCGAGAGCGCAGGAACACGACGGGCGATATCAATCTTAATGCGCAGCTCAAGGCGCAATATTTTAATAAGATGAATTTCACGATAGCATAAATCTTCTAGTGTAAACCATCGTTGGAAAACAATATGATCTTGTGCACATGTAGCTGCGCTATATATAACGTTTAGCCTATGTACGCTATGCGGCTTCGTCTCTGTCTTATTCTAGCCGCGCTGTGCATCATCATAACATGTAATTAACTTGCGTTACACACAGCCCGTTGTTCCGCGTTGCCGGGGTGGCGGACGCGCAGCGCTATTTCGAGAAAGAACACGTTAAGTTTCTTCGCTGAATTCCTCGTATTTCATCCGCAATGCAGGTTCTTACACTCGGATTTACGGCTTCCTGATTATTCCGTAATTAGCGTGTAGGGCAAACCAGGTCTGAATGGCATCAAAGGTATGTTGCTCGTGTGCTTTTTCTAGTATTTATCCTGAGAGTAACAGTGGATATGTGTATATAATCGCGAAATGTCCTTTTAGGACATAGATACTTTTCCCTGAGTTTCATTAAAATCGGGTTAATATTGCAGTTAAAAAGTAGAAAAAGAAACTGATTCAATAGTAGCAAAGTAAGCAATTTTCGAGCCTTTCGAAGTTGTGTGTTAATATTCGCCATCGTGAGTGCATAAAGTCAAGCGACGTGTCATTAAACAGAGTGAAGTTTCCTGCAAGTCTGTGATATACTCTGCTTCACATAGCAAAAGCAATTTTCATTCATGGAATGATTGAAATCAAGCACATAGGCAGATGAGGTATAGCTGACCCATAATGAAGGTTTGGTATAAGGACTGTGAGAATAAAGACCTCGCGGAACTACTAAGATGTACATTTTATATGTAGCCTTCTTTAGCCCGCACTCCTAGGTTACTTACCCCGATACTGGGAATAAATTGGCTGCATATTTATATTTTGGTTATTATAAAACTGAATACTATGCGGTTAACAGAATCGTATTAGCACATAAGGGTATTAACACATAAAAGAAGGTTGTCTCTATCATGTTCGTCAGTCACAATAATTAGTTGGTTGAGAAGTTGTAACTTTGAAATTCTAAAATATGAGACATCTAGTTCCGGTTTTCCCTACATTGCCGCGGACACGATAACTTCGCATTGAGGGTTACAGTCGGCGAAAGATACCTCGCGTTATCTCGACGATTCCATGAAACGTGGTTGCTACATAACGAGTACGTAACGTACTCTGATACTCGTCCACGAGTGTGTCTTATCGCGTCGTTTTGGGGAACGCAATCCCAGAAATATGAATACTATGTCGCGCCGTGATGAATACTATGCCGAAGCAACATTTTGGCTGCTTCGAATCGGGTGAGCTCTCGAGGGCAGGTAGACTCATCAAAGAAGACAGAGAATGGCACGGGGAATCATAGTCATGCCGCGCTATCCTCGTCCTATCTCTCCAAGTGGAGTACGTGCAACTACTTTCTTCGCACATTTCTCTTCCGCCGGCACGGCTATCCGGGCGTCCTTCCCGTCGACTTTACCTTCCCCGCTGCCACGCTTTCCTCATTCCGTCTCTCGGACGCGCTCTCTCTACGACCACCAGAGGCGCGGCAGTTTTGCCGATTTAAGGTTGTCGAAGTTATAAAGCTTCTCAAGCGCTCCCTCGGGTTCGCAAGTTTCGCTGGAAGTCCTCCGTTCTCCGGCGGCTACCCATTTCCTTCGCCCACACTCCTGTCTCGTAGCCTTTTTCCTCCACGATTACCTGCAACGTGTCAAAGGAGTAATTTTCCTATTTCGTGCTCCAAGTTTCTCTCGGTTACTTACCTGTAAGCGGAGATAATGCTCGCTATATCTAGCTGAGCCATGGGAAAACCTTAGGTTGTATGTATCCTCGGGCCGTGAACTGCCATTGGAGTTACGAAGAACGCGCTACGCCCTCGTAAACATGGCCCATGTATATTTCGACATACCTTTCGTTTGATGGTTCGTACACGCTACATTCAGTCGATTCGAAAGGCAGTCGCGAGCTTTGAATAGTACGCTTATGTATTCGCGATACAACCATTATTTATCTCACTGCACATATGCAGCTGTGTGTTTTCAAATTTAATATTCAACCAAGAAAAAGAACTCTGGTTGCAAGTTGCTGTTTCCTATAATCTTATATTCTAAACGTAAACCTTTAGCGAAAGAGCATTCCTCTCTTGATAAAGCAGACAATCAAATCGCAAAATCCATTAGATATTATTCTAACTCTTCTTCCTTTTAAATCAAGAGGGATACATCTACTTGAAGTGGAATGCTCTTTTACCTTTGCGTGCAATATGAGGCACGACAAACAAGACTTGTAGAGAGAATAGACGAGATTCTTTTAACTTGAAAAAAATGTGCTTAGAATATTTTCCTTTTATTTTCCAAGAGGTTTTCTTGAAGCCATACACTGAGAGAAAAAAATATCTAACATATAAAACATATTTATGTAGTGAGTAGTAATAACATATATTTACTTGTACTAATATAGATATTTTTACATTGAGAGAAGATATATATTTACCTAGAACCACTGTTGCTCTTTATAAAAAAAATTTTTTATTCTAAACAACAAAATTTAGTTTTAAATAAATATGTTATTAGTTATTCCAACGGGAATAAATATCTTTCAATTCAGATATTCAGATATTTCAGATATTTCTTTTCTCATTGTGTAAGAATAAAAAAGTTCTTTGGAATTCAGAGAAATCCGCTGTGAGATTATATTTTGTTGAGTGTATCATAAATTCACACGTGAAACATATGTTTATCAACTTTGGCAGTAACAACGCAACGTTTTCTGTTCGCAGACATGCTGCCTACGATCGAACGTTGCTGGCTCGCCGGGATAAGAATGCCGCTAGGTCGGCACAAGTGTGCAGTGTGACGATCGTCGGTTATATTGCGATGGAACGGTTGTTCTGAAGGAGAACGTGCAGCTGTGACAGTGCAAGCGCGTGGAATCGAGATTTCGCGCTGGAGACTCATTCGTGCGTTACACGCCGCCGAGAACGAAGCGTTCGAGGATAATGGTGAGTACGCCATTTCAGCGAGTTTCTATATCTCGACAGTATCGCGGACGAGTCATTATTTTCCGTTGGGCGAGCTCGGGCGGTCGAGCGCATTTGAATGTGAATTACCGGTTATTACCGCGGGCTTTTCCGTCACGGACGGATCAGGGACCGAGCCGAAG